AAGAGTGTTTGTGCATTGAATTAACTTGAATTAGTGAATTGTCAATAAAATTTCTGACACGGATGAGAGTTAACCGTTTTCCCATGAATTATCATGTCAAGTTAAAGATCAGGCTTTTCTATAGTACTTGATTCTACCTGCTAACTCAGGTAAGGAGTACTGCCTGTTCTTTATTAGGCCCCACTCCTGGTTGGGTAACCTAACTTTTCTTAAACCCTGCTAAGCTCCCAGACTCAACAGGACATATTTCCTGTATTAAGACTGCTGTCTGGCTCAGTGACAGGATTGATTTCTTTAGGCTGGTATAAGGGATTGCAACTAAGAAAAAGAATACTTAGGCTGCATTTCAGGATAAACATCCTAGTGGTGAAACTTCTTAATGTGACCCAGTCTTCCAAGGGAAAAGCTAAAAACCCCCTTGCTGAGGCTAGACTGGACAAAGCACCAGAAAATATAACATCAGGAAGAAACATGCTGTGGGAATAGGTAGGACAAGCTGAGTCTTTTCAGTGTGTAGTTGCTGTGATTCATGTGAAGGCACTTTGTGTGCACAGTACATGTCTATCTAAGATTGGCAGTGATGAGAACAAGATGGATGAGGGCAGCCCGGCATCTTAACTGACAGTCATCATTTTATTCAAGTGAAGATTTTCAGAGGTGCCCAAAGTGCCTAACTCTCACTGGCTTTCAGTAGATTTTTGTCTGCCCTTTTGCCTTTGAAACCCTTTCCCTTAGTCTTCTACATCAGACCTATTTTCGTTTCCACTAAAATAAATGTTGGATAAGGGGGCCAGGTAAGCCAGATTTATAAAAGTATTAAGGTGCTTGACTCCTATTCATTTAGGTACCCAAGTACCTTTTAAAAATCAAGCTCATTAGACTTGTGGGTTTGCAATAAATTCCAGTATTTTCAGTTTTTTTGTTTTTTTGGGTTTTTTTTGTCTTCTGGCTTTTTGCTGCTGAAGTTCTGACTCAATTTTGGTTGTTTAAAAAAAATCTTCCTTAGGAGCAATTTAACTACCCTTTTGAAAATGTCCATTTGCTGGGGTACAGTCTGGGAGCACATGTAGCTGGGATTGCTGGAAGTCTGACCAAAAAGAAGATTAACAGAATTACTGGTAAGAAAAACCTACTCTCCATCTATTTCTTTGTTGACAAAGAGAAAAAGGGGGATGGTTTTGATTTTCCCCAGGCTGGAATATTACTTTTCTGTGGAAATTGGTTAAGGTAAATTTTAACAATGGTGGCTGTATATGAACACACTGTTGCTGTCAGGAGGAGAGTTAGCACTGATTATATGACAGTAGCATTGAAAGACCAGAGTGCTACTTTGCTAAACACTCAATCATGGTCTATAATAGAAAGGAAAACATTAGCATAATGACCAGCATGGATACTAAGCAAATTGGAAACAAACTCCCTGCTGACTAACAGACACCAAATGGGACACAACCTTGCCTTAATAATAAATGCAAAACCTGTTAGCACATTTTTAGTGCTACAACAGTCGACATCCCCCCCCAATCAGAATTCAGTGATCCTCCATAGATCTATCCCAGAATGTGGTATATCTCATCCCATGTACCAGATGGATGGAAACTATGGGAGAGAAACCTCACAAAGTATACACCAGAGTGAATGATCACAGGAAAAAGAGGAAGGACTGAGGCAGACTAACATAAAGGAACTGCACTCCCTTTTGTGATCTTGCAGTCTTGTGGTTCAGGGTGATGTACAGAACACCTTCAGAAGACAGGCCTGGGGACAGCACTTCATAACTAGGACTCTACCCTATTCATGATTTCTTGATTTTGTTTTTGTTGTTTTTTTTTGCAGAGGCTGTGAAGAAAATGGTTTCCGAGGAAACCCCCCAAAAATGGAATTTCACATGATTTTTGGCGTAGAATCATAGGGGAGGTGGGGAAACTTACTAAAAATTAAAATGGCATGAAGGGGAGAAAAGAAAATTGGCAGCTACGTGCTGCCCGCCCGCCGCCCCCCCCCCGGGCTGAGAGGGCTGCCCATTGTGCAGCCCTGCCCCTCCAACACAGCAGCAAGGGATGAGGCTGTAACGGGTGGTCCTCTTGGCCAGTCAACATCATCAAGGGGTGGGGCTGCCTGGGCCCCCTCTGCCAGTGAGCACTAGCAGGGAAGGGCACCATGAAAAGACCACAAAAATGGCGCCATGCGCTACAAGCAGACTACACTTTTTTTTCTTTCTTTTTTCATCTTGGTGTAATTTTTAGATAGATTACTCTTCATAACTTTACTGGACACTAAAGATCATAACTAAACACAGATATTGACTTTATGGCTCATTAAAATGTATCTTAAGTCTCTGCTAATCTCTATTCCAAAAGTGATAAGAATAATCTTCCCTCTTGAATGGTCTTGCTCTTCCACTAGTCAGGCTATCCTTTCTACTGTACTTCTCTTGTCTTAGCTTTGTGTACCCCTCCATTTTTTTTGAGCAGAATGTTTGTTTTTATTTATATAGGGAGTTTTACACAGGTTATTCAAGCTGTTACTTAACTCAAGCTTTGTCTGTTTTGGTTTGGTTGGTTTGTTTGTTTTCCACAGACCTGAGGAAAAGTACCATATACTCAAACTTGTTTAAGATGTCTCCCAACTATGCTGTTTGCCCAGTAAAAGAACACCTCCCAAAAATCCTTGCCTCACTTCCTGGACCATCACTGCTACATCATTCCACTCCAACAATATAATAAAGGCACTTGTCTGTAGTCTAGAGTGAACTTGGGCTGTTGTTTGAGTGCTTTTCCCAACTCTTCTCCTATACATATGCAAAACTTTCACCCAGGCTGGGTGGTGCTTTCAAAACAGGCCTGCTAGCACAGCTGGGTATGAGAGTATCTGGGTGTGGCTATCAGTCAAGCTGATAACCTGCCTACTCTGCAGTGAACAGATAGGCACTCAAATGTGGGAAGGCTTTGGAGGACTATCAACAATTCTCCCTGTGCAGCCAACAGAACAGAGGTTCTCTCACAGTTCAGTAGGAAAAGAACATGGATTTGCTCAGTTTACTTTAGCCCCCAAAAACCTGAATTTCTAGTGACTGATCAGTGAGGAACAGCATCCATGAGCAGAAGCCCAGTGACACAGCCAGGTGCCTGGGGCACAGGGGGACAGAAGTGACTTCCAGTTGCTGCCATGCTGCTGGCATGATTGTGATCTTGTGGCTGCCAATGCCAGCCATCTTTTTCACACCACTCCTTTCTCACCCTGCTCCTGCTCTGCCCCTGCCAAATTGGTGCCTGGCACGGTTGCCCTGACTTCTCTGTTCTTGCTATGCCACTGCCTGTGAGGACTTGGTAACTCTTTAGGGCTTTCCAGCATAGTGATATGAGGCTGGACTAATCAGCGTAAATTTTAAAAAAAAATTGGCAACATTTGCAACAACACTTCTCCTGTTATTCTGTGAATGAACAAGGTCAAAAAATCTTAAATTTTAGACCTTTTGAATTCTTACATTTGAAACTTTGAAAAGGGGGGGGTGAGAAATATTCTCAGATAATATTGAGTACAGCAACCACATAGAAATTATACTTGCCACCTTACAGATTTTCATGTGCATCACATTCTGTTTTAATAATGATGAAACTTTAACAGCAGTGCTTTTGCACCCATGAATGTGCAGTTTGGATTGTATTTAAAGAAGTAGCAATGTACAAAAACCCCAGCCTAGTACAATATATAGTATGAACCACATGGGACTATGACAAATATTAGACCACTCTTATATCCATGGTTTTGGGTTTCTTTTCCTCATGCAGGTTTGGATCCAGCTGGTCCTACCTTTGAATATGCTGATGCACCTATGCGCCTATCCCCAGATGATGCTGAATTTGTTGATGTCCTACACACTTACACAAGGGGGTCCCCAGACCGGAGCATTGGGATACAGCAGCCAGTTGGGCATATTGATATCTATCCTAATGGAGGAGGCTTCCAGCCAGGCTGTAACCTAGGAGAAGCTCTGCGCCTCATTGCAGAAAAAGGCTTTGGAGGTAAGGCTGCTTTGGAAAGTGTAGATAAATACCTACAGTGGGATTTTCATTGTGCCTAGATGCACAAATCCTATTGAAGGTTGGTAGGCACTTCTGAAGATCACAGAAAGCCCTCCTCTAAATTGGATAATTTTATCCACCAATTGCATAGTTTGATGCCTGTAATTTTATTTTTCTTCCAAAGATGTGGATCAGCTCGTGAAATGCTCTCATGAACGTTCCATCCATCTCTTCATTGACTCTCTAATGTATGAGGAAAAGCCAAGCATGGCCTATCGTTGTCAAACAAAGGAAGCCTTTGAAAAGGGGCTTTGTTTAAGCTGCAGGAAGAACCGCTGCAACAAAATGGGTTATCAGGTCCATAAAGTGAGAACCAAGAGAAACAGTAAGATGTATCTGAAGACACGGTCTCAGGCACCCTATAAAGGTAGATCCTGGCTGTTTGATTGTGTAAAATGTTTTGCTTGGTTGTGCTCTGTGTACAAATGTGAATGTGATTGCTTCTTTGCAGTGTGAGGTCACGAGATGCTGAGCCTGAATAAGTTTGTATATGCCTTTAGAATGTGATTCATATCAAACTATTGAACATCTTGGAGTTTTGCCTAATTGGGGGAATTTTTTGTAACAGAATGTTGAGGGAGCCTAAAGAAAGGAATTACTGTTCAGTCTAGAAAGTAATTCTTCTTGGAATAGTCCAGCCTTCAGAATTTTTCCATCACTTTTTTTTTTTCTTTTCTAAACACACTTTTACTGGTGCTGGAAAAGCTAAAAGCAAGCCAAAGCATGGTGACTGACTTACTCAAAGATGTGCAGTAATCGGACACTCTCTTACTATTCATAAGCGTCTGCCAGAACTGTACATACCGTCAGGTTAAGTCAAACACTTCTGCTTATTTTCTGATCCAATCAGTGATTGGTCTGAGGAAGAGATTGGTGGAAAGAATCTGAAAGCTTTCAGCCAGTCAAACAACTGTTAGGACAGATGACTTGTTTAACCAGCTTTGATTGTCACATGAAGGATGTGCTTATGGCCTTGCCACAAGCTGTGAGTGAAGAGGCAGCATGCAGTTGCATGGCACTAAAAGCAACTAGCTTGAACCCTTGTTCCCCTGGAAAGGTTGCAGGACCAGTGTTTGAGATACCCGCTATACATGAGGGTGTCATTTGGCTTGGTTAGAACTGACCTCGCAAAGACTCCATGCATAAGAAACAACTACTCATTTGTCCTCATGTTTTGCAAGAACTCTCAAACGTCTCTTTTGTGCAAGCTAATGCAAAGACATGACTGAAGCCACGGTGATGCATTTGTATGATCCGCTCCAAAGTGGCAAATAATTCTATGGCATCTGACCCTGTTGTCTTGCTCCTAATAAGTAATGCTTAGTGACAAGAATAGTCCCCATGATATACTAGTTGGAGTACTACTCACCTTGAGTAAGGGTGGCAGGTCATGGCAGGGTGTGCTGAGCTATTGGGCTGTTTACTCTTTTGTCCTCTTTCATGGTTCATGTCTGAAATGAAGTTTGCTTGTTCCTGCCCCAGTTTTTCATTACCAGGTCAAGATCCATTTTTTTGGAAAGGAGAATGTAACTAAGACAAGTCAGCCATTGCTCATTTCTCTGTATGGCACAACGGATGAGAGAAAGAACATTGCCTTTATACTGTGAGTAATGGCAGTGATTGGTGCAAGTATACATGTAACTGATCTATGTATGTTGCATGTCCCCTGCTAGCCTCACCCACACAAGATTGGAGCCTGTTCCAGCCTACTCTGCAAAACCTCTGTTGCTAATTCAGTCTGCACAAACTCCTGCTTTTGAGATATGGAGAGTCTCTAATTCAAATCCAAATGTTGACCAAGAAGGTGGCCACTCCACATTTGAATATTCAAGTCTAGCGTGTAGAGTCCAAAAAGTCTCTTAATTCAGTAGAGACTTGAAATGGAAAAAAATGAGGTTTGGCTTATGGCTCATTATTGTAAGTAATTTTCCAAGCCAGAGAAATTCAAGCCCTTTACTATGTCATCTGTTTTTTAAGCAGAGCTTTGTGGAGAATTCTGTTTACAGCCTTATAGTGTGGATTTGCTATTGTGCTAGAACGACACTCATTTTTCTTCACTCAAGGCTTCACCTTGTGTTTCTGTTCAGTTGAATAATTTTACAAAGGATTTCTCTTGGAATTCAGTAGTCAAATATGGGCTTACCACTGCCACCATGTGTGGGGTGACATTGTGTCATGCCACTTCAGGAATTGACTAGGAAACAGATGGTGACTCGGACGAGCAGGACTGGATTCAAATGTTCTGAGTGAAAGCCAATTGAAGTCAATGGAAGGATGTCCATTGACTTCACTGGGCCTTGAATAAGGCATTGAGGGACACGCAGAGCATGTTTGCCTATCTCTGAAAATAAACACTACAGTCTAAGCACACATTGTATTTATTTATTTTTCTTCACAGACCTGAAATTTCCACAAACAAGACCTACTCCTTTCTGGTTTACACAGAGGTGGATATTGGTGACTTACTTAGGCTGAGTCTGCAGTGGGAGAGAGACTCTTTTTTCAGTTGGACAGAATGGTGGACCTCCTTCACATTTGACATCCACAGAGTGCGAGTGAAGGCTGGAGAAACCCAGAAAAAGTAACTTTGTTTTACTGCTTTACTGGGGGAGGGGGACAGGACTTAGATTTCATTCCTAGTGTTTCATGATTCCCAAATACATGGCTAAATGGGGCAAATAATGGAGTGGTGGAAAACAAATATGACCTGGTACTACTAGGGTTTTCTTCTCTATTGCTCAAATGTCTACTTGAGTCAAATTTACAGCTTCTTTGCATCATTGAAGTTGGGTTTACAGACACCTTGGGGGGGGGGGCATCTGAGTGGTGCATAGCAGCTAAGGAGGCATACCAGTAATTTGGCTTCCCATAAATTTTGGTTGATCCTTGCTGAACACTGGATTATAATGAAACAACATTGAAGCACATAAGCAGTCCCATTGACTTCTAGTGCACACATGTATAAGGGCCTTGCTGAACTGTGATGGTTGCTGGTATTTACCACCCCTCACCTACCTGCTGAATATTTTTGCAAGTAACTTTTGCTCACAAAGAACAGTGAGGGTAAGAGGCTTCTGAGTACTCTTCCAAATTTGTATTCATGCAGGATACATTTTTGAGGTCGCCCTGGAAACTCTTTATAGGATTAGAAAATTTCCAGTGAGGAGTAGAAATAAGAGCATGTGACCTTGCATACGAATTGCTAATTGTGGACACTTAACATGGTGTCTATTAGCACTTAGCAAGTTACTAATTATAACCACTTGAAGCAGTTCTCAGTTGAGCAGCTGAAATATTTTCATATAAATTATTTGAGTAATTTTTATGAATCTGATCATATTCAACCTTAAGTGTGTTGGGAGAAAAAGGGGCTACATTTGGCTATGGGTGTATTGCAAACAGAATGGCCACTTCTGTGAACAAGCACAGTAATTGCTTTATCAAAGTACATAGTAATCCTTGCTGAACAAATAGAGGGATGAAAGGTATCGGCAAGCATAAAAAGCAGCTGCTTACTCTTCCCAGAATTGGCAACCTCATCTTATTTGCCAATGTTCAGGGGAGTACTGCTGTTTTCCAAGAACAGTGTCAGGGTGAATAAAGGTCTAAGGGAATTTGTGCCAATTCTCACAGCCATATACCCCCCCCCACCCCCCCCCAGGCCTCCACGCCCCCCCACCCCCCCCCCAGGCGCAAAACCGAAAAAACAAACCAACCCCAAACAAACAAAAACACGTTTTTAGTTGAAAAATTCTGTGTAGCTAGCCAGGAAAAAACACAGGCACCCAGTTTAGCCGCATCTGCCAAATGTCCCTCTGCCCTTTTTTTGCCTTCAGTGATTTTTCTGATTTAGACTGCTGAGTTTCAAGCTACACGGTGCACAGCAGTGACCTGTTGGGGAGCCAGCACTTTGCCGAATTTGTTCCAAAGTGACCATTCTTTTTTTCCACAACACAATCTAGCTGTAAGCCGAGCTTCCATGTAAGTGGGAACTATTTGCATAGTACAGTGCACCTGAACCATTTGAACTCTTCATTCATGAGGTTTCATTGCCTCCAATTTCTTAAGGAACAGATTATTCCCTTTTTAGATAATTATAACTTTTTTTAGTAAAAATTTTTGTAAAGTTTTTAAAAGCATAAATGCTGGCTCTATACTTTTAACAAAGGAAATATCAAATTAGTTTTCCATCAAATTCTCATAGGCATTTAAGAAATTGACTGGTAGTGTACTGGATAAAGGCCCACTCTGTTTCAGCAAACTGATAATACTTTATAGTTAAAAAGCTTGGCCCAGATTAACTGTGACACCTGGTTTGTTTGCTCTGTAGGATGGTGTTCTGTTCTCAGGATGGAGCTGCTCACCTCCAAAAGGGAGGGGAAGCTGTAATGTTTGTGAAATGCCTTGGTAACCCTGTCCGCAGAAGGAAAGCAGGGTAAGAGATTGGGGTTTTTTGTTTTTGTGTTTTTTGTTTTGTTCTTTTCTTTCTTTGTCAAGTCAATCCACATGTAATTGTGTAACATTGCTTTAAGGATGTTCTCGGGTGTTGTCTGAAATTAGGCAGCACGAAAAATCTTGAGAGAACCTGTTCTTATACAAATCGGTAAATCTGAAAATTATGAGAACAATAGTCACAATCATCTCCATAAGATTTAGAAGGTAATTAAGACTCAGTGCCTGATTATTTTGTGAATTTACTACTTAACACTTCAAAAACTTTGAGCCTGTTTTTTGGTCCATACCCCTTGCATAGTCATTGACACCTATGTGAAACCCTAGAAGATTAGAAGGGTAGCTTCTTGTACTCATTTAACACAAGTATATGTGACCAGTATAAGACCTGTGCTATGTATAATATGATGTATCGTAACTCGGCAAAGTGAGAGTGCATTTGAGACTTTAGGGTCACTTGCATTTTGTTTTGTTTGGGCTCTGTCAGCTTATATATATGAAAAATCTAATTGATGCACCTGCATATGTAGGTCTTGTACAGTGAGGCACCAATACAGAACTTTACTCCATGGAGAAGCCCCACTGAAGTCGCTAAATTTCTAGCTGGGTAGCAGGCCTAAAACTTAAACCAAGTTGGGCATGCAAAATTTGAGGAATTGGGAATGGTCTGTCAGCCAGTTTTGAAAATGCACTAGAGTTGAAAGACCAGGCCTTTAATGTATATTTTACAGCAAAACTCTTAAGCTAGTCTAGTGTGATACCTGTATTATACTTATAAGTGAGCTGCAGCCCTGAATGAATCAAAAAATTAAGCAGCTAACTTATTTTTTGCTTTAAAACAATTACTTAGCGTTCTAAACCCAACAGAAAAGCCTAAACATGTCTTTTTTTTTTTTCTTTTTTCTTTAGACACAAGCCAATTTCTGAAATTAAAACTGACCCATGAATTTTCTGAAGAATGTTATGGATGAAGAAATTCTGTATTGGGGAGGGGAGAGAATACTGAATGCAGTGGGTGTTCAGAACTGAATATATTGAAATGTATATCAGCTTCTGGCTTTTTTTGCCTGCTATGCCTGGCTCTTTTTTTTTTTTTTTTCAGGGAATCTCAGCACATAGAAAGTAGCTACTAAAATATAAAGAACATGTCAGCCAAGTAGTTAAAAATGTTTTGCAAAAGGTGTGACAGCTTGATTTACCAGGAAGAAATAAGTGACTTTGCTTCATTATACCGCCTTGTAACAAGGTTTTTCAACATAAAGTATTGTACAGCAAATTCCTAGTATTTATTGAGAAGTTTCATATCTGGGCCTATATTTTGGCTTTTTGTTAATTGGTGTGTTAATATTTGTATAAACTAGTTGGAGCTTTGTTTGTGCAGTTGGGCAACATCAATTGAGCTAACTGAACTTATAGGCTCCTCACTAATGTTTAAAACAAAGCTTTCGCATGCATGTTTAGCACCTAGTAGGTGTACTTATTCTGAAGTGTGCACCTTGCTCCTGATGAGGCTGTTGCTCCTTTTTAAGGCTGAGAACTGAGTGAATCTGGAGACAGACTATGCTGGACTGTGGATAATAGAGCTTGTACTTGGGGCAAATTGCTGTGCTATCACTACCTACCTAGCCTTAGCTGTGACCCATAAATGTATATATATAATTACTCTATTTATCCTGCAATAAACTTTCAGTGGTAGGAGATGCTAGCATTCTCAGTGTCCAATGCAGATATTTTAAAATTAATCAGTAACCATGTCTTTTTAAAACAAAACCGTTTAACTTCTGACATTGCACTAAGTTAAGAACCACAAAAGAATCAACAGACTGAAAACAGCACGTGATTTTGTTTTCAGCACCTGTTTGTATCACTAATGCAAAAATAAGCTGAATACTGTGACTTTCTGCTCTTTGACACTGAACTTCAGTCATCCGATTAGGTCAGAGCTGCACTGGCCTTGTGTTCACCTGTATTTTTCCTGACCGGCAAACCGGGAGACTGTGATCATTCTTTTCTTTGCTAATATTCTTATTTCCAAAGACAAACCTCGGTGTATTGCTTTGCTGTGACATAGGAGCAGATGCCATTACATTGAAGGAAGTTTTTCAGTACCTCTGACATTTAAAGGAGCTTGAATGTATTACTCACAAAACACAATGCTCTGTAATCGCTTCAGTTAGAGGTGCTACAAGTATACAACAGTACTGTAGAACTGAACAGTGTTTTTATGCATATGTAATTAATTATTTTAATACCCATAAAAATTCAAGGGTATGGCAATTTGGAAAAGTAACACAAGATTATATTTTGTAATATGTATCTTTATTACACAACATCAAGCCCTCTCCTCCACTCCCTGTCCCCCCCTCTATTAGGGAAGGTGGTATTTCTGCAAAATCACTAAAATTGGAACAAAACTCAACATTTTAACTTTATTTATATCGCCATGCCTTGTTCACATTAGATGAACAAAGCTGAATACAGCAATATAATTGCTAGAAGTTGATCTAACCCAAAAAAGTGTGGTTGAGACGCGATGAGATAGTGAGGGTGATGCTTGAATACTGAAACCTTGCATATGAGCTCTCTTAAAGGAATAAATGAAGAAATTGCATTTTCTTCTTGACATTCCTCTTTTTTACTTGCAGTTTTCTGATGGATGATGTTTTGGAAAGGTGTGAGGATGTGTATACTTATGACACAAGCTCTCATATAATCCCTTACAGCACTTGAACACCAAATGGTGAAGGTTTTTATAAATGAAGACACGGGATTTAGCTTTAAATATTATTTATTAGCTGTAAATATATATAATTTATGTCTGTGTAAAGGTAGTCTGTATATATTGCTGAGGCTATTGAGGTAATCTGCATCTATACAGTTGTGCAGTATTAATCCTGTATGTAGCTTTCAGAATGAGACTTTTTTTTACCAATGAACTTCTTAGTCACATGTTGAAAATAACAGTGTATTATGCTTTTTTTTTTTTTTTTTTTTTTTAAGGGAAAGCTTCCTTACTTTGTACAGAATGGAAACCTGTGATCTTAATAAACTTTGTCAAACTGATTCCAAAGTAAGCCACTAGTTTTGTTTTGAAGAAATAAGCAGTGAAATATTTTATTTCTATTTAGAACTCTCAAAGAATTAGCTGAACTATAGGAATATAGACACAGGGCAAAATTTTCAGAAGTGGCTACGGGATATGGTGTTTCAGCCTTTTTGGTGGCCTGTCTTGTGACTTAGATGTTTTAAGGTGGGGACTCCCCATACTGTGGCATCCAAAGTTACTACACTTAACATCATGACCATGACCAAGTTTAAAGCTCATTAAGGCAGCTGGCTTTGCTGGGACAATGGTGAGGAATGGAGAAAGGTGAGCAAAGGAAAGAATGGAGGAAGGGAGATAATGGAGGTGAACTGAGAAGAAAGATATAAAAAAGAACAGCAAGACAAGGAGAATGGAAAAAGGGAGTGTTTAAGAAGGGGCAAAAGGGAGAGGAAAGTGAGAAGAGAAAAAAGGGTAAGCAGAGTGCAGTCTGAAAGGGTGAAAGCAAACACCCCAAGAAAGAGTTGTGTAAGGACAGTTGTGAGGGCCTGGTTGGAAAATCTCTTGGATGATGCGAGGGATCAACCTAGGAACTAGTCCAACCACCCAGGGGGCTTGACACCGAGACTTGGGGGATTGCTGGCAAAGCTTTATATACAGCTGGTTCTGTTCTCTCTCCAAGTCAGGGGTTACAATTGCAGCTTATGTCAAAAGCTTGTACTGTTTCAAGGAAGTGTTACACAAGGGCTTGTCTGCCCAGTCCCATAGAGATGTCTGGTTGGCTGAGCCTGGAATTTCTTCCCACACATCAACTATCAAGGGTAAAAGGCAAACCAAGCTAAAAGGTTAGCACAATGGGGAAATGAAAGGGTGGGGGGGAGGAGGCAAGGGAGAGAAGACATCGGATGCACATGAAGAGGGCAAA